CTTGTAATAAAGACTAGATACTATTTCAAGATACTTGGGCTTTTCCTATGAGGTACATCCAGTAAGTATCCAAGGGAAAGTACAAGCACTGACAGGAGTTCCCACTCTTTGTTAAATACTCCTGCAGTGCTCTCCAGAAGTTGAGTTCCAGATCTAACAAAAATGGCTTTAACAAATCAACAACAACAAAAAAGCCCCCAAAACACATACTTACACACACACACTCACACAAACAAAACCCCATCAAACCCCTCCAACCAAATAAAAAAACCCAAAGAAAACAGACCAAAACCACCTCTGATTTAAAAGAGAGTAATACAAATGAAATATCCCTGTTGTTCCTTGTTACAATCTCTTAATTGTCTTTGCAGGAACTATTCCAGACTATAAATTACTTCTGAAATTTTATGTTTGGTGCTTTCAGGTGAACATAAACAACTAATATTTACCTTGTGCTAAGCAGAACAAACAAACTCCAAACAAAATTGAAATTATAGTGTGATAGATTTTGGAGCTGTGAAAGGAAAGATCACCACCCATTTACAGGACAAACTAAGGCACACAGTAACTTCCTTAGAGACATTAAGGAAACATGAGGCTGAAACAGGAGGTCAGCTCAGATATCTGAGTTGCAGCCCAGAACATAACTTCAGATAATGATTCATCAGCTGTTATTTGTTTTAAAGCAGCCTGCTATTTTTAATCTGTCTAAGGATAAAGGAGATACTTTTCTTAGCAATACCTACTTCAAAAGATCTATAATATTCTGACGCTGAAAAATGTGTAACAGAATGGAAGGCTCTGGAAAACATATTTATGTGTATCACTATGAAGCTGTTCTTCATAGAAGTTCTGCTTGAAAAGCGGCTTCTTTTACAAACCAATATAAAAATAAGCTGTTGGTAATCCCCAATAAGGCACTTATGAGCTGGACTCGATCCTTGTGGGTCCCTTCCAATTCAGAATGAATGGTACTGTGAAAAGTGGATGGAAAATAGACCCCCAAAAGACAGAAGAACAACAGAAAAGCTTAGCTGAAACAAAAACAGCTTTCTACACCTGTCACAACTCCAGACCTGAGGTTCAGCTGAGGATGAATCTCAAAAATTAATATTTATTATTTGAAGGACAAGGTTATTTATGTTGAGAAACATGGGAGACAAGGGTCATGAAGCTAATAGACAGCTTTTGGTAACATCTTTACTTCCCCACTTTGATGTCCTGCAACCCAAATAAAAACTGTACACTTGAAAAAAAAAGGTGTATAGATCCATCAATCTTTTTCACCTAAGGACTAATTTACAAACATGGTAGATATCCTAACAATATAACTATCACAACCCTTGAACTACATAAGGCAAGATGTACACTGGCATTTCCAGGGAACTTTCAAATTACTCAAAAGTCTCAAACTCTAAAGTGGTGGGACTTGACAGAAATAAATATCTCACAGATATTTTGGATTTGCTATGTTAAACAGCTAAAATATTCTTGGTGACTACATGCCCCACAAAACCTCTCAAATTCCTCAGTGGGATTTTCTTACAATCCATTTCATGTGTCTGCTTTGAGAATCACACACTTTCACACTTTCATTTGTAACTAAGTATTTGTAAAGATTTTTAAATATTTAAATTGTGTTTTCTGTTTCCAGATGAGAAGGGGAATATTGACTGTAAAACAAGAAAGTAGAGCTAGAGCAGATAAAAGTAACCAGAAGACAAATGGTTCTATAAAATTAAATTAGGATAAAACTACTACTAATAACAAAATTCTTCTGCATTGTTTCTTCACGGAAGCCCACGAGCAGTCAGGATTTTTGACAGTGCAAATACAAGTCTACCAAGCCTTGGGAATTTCTGGATGCAGCTTTTTAAAAGAAAACCCAACTTTAATTAGGATTAAGAGAAATCTTAACTCTACTTAACACAGTGCAACTGCAATTTTATTCCATTTCAAGTTACATTAGCTTTCCTGGATGCTAACATGCATTTGCTGCTATCCATCTCCCTAATGGAGATCCCCAATAAAATACAAAAGATACCAAATTAAGATATTGTATCATCCTGTGGAGAAGCAAAACTTTATTTAAAGCCTTGAAAGTGTAAAAGCAGCACACATAGCATAGTTAAAAAAACCCAAGCTTGTATGGGAAAAATTCTACTAGTTAGATAAAACAATAAAACACACATTTGAAATCCTCAGCTGAATCTTTCTTTAAACATGTTTTAAACTTTTTTTGGTGCGCCAGAATGCGCCTCGATTCTTGCCAGAATTTGTCCTGATATTTTTGCTTTCTGAATCATAACATTTTGCTCAACAGCCCGCGTTTTGTTCTTTTCGCAGTACACAAAATTAATACCCTCCTGCCATCTAGTGGCTAAAAAACAAAAACCCGGCGCCAAACACGGCTGGCAGATTTAATCCAAAACTTCTTCCAACTCTCTTCCCCATGGGACAGTTTTTCTCACCAACATTAGGTAAGTATTAGCACTTTGCCAGAGAGAAGGAAATGCGTAGAAGATAATCCCCCTAAATTGTTGAGGTGTCAGAAGGATCTGCCCATCCTGGCTTGTTCTGAGCCTCGTGCACTCCTTGGTAAAGCAGCCTCAGACTTCTCAGAGAGAAATAAGCTGCAGTGAGTACAATTTTAATTTACTTCTAGTTACTGCTCTGACATGGTAGATCAGTCACAGCCAGAGAGTGGCAAGCTGAAGCTGTGAAGCTACTGGAAACAGCTGGTCTTTCTGCACAGCTTTGAATTTAGATTCTCACTGCACTGTTCTCTCAAAATTAATTGTGCTCATTTAACATCACAAGTTACTTGTTTTCCTATTGAGCTCGCATATGTTAAGCAATAGCACATGAAATTCAGTGAAGAATTTAACTGAGAATACTGCACAACTGGTAAAGACTGGGTTGATGAAAAAAAGAAGGGACAATAAAATCTAGAGTAGTCACTCTAAAGTTTTATAGATACCTTATTTAAGATGTATTACTTCATACTGCCAAAATGAAACTTTAGCAATCAAGACAGAGAGCCACACTCGTTCAAGTAAAAGTAAATCTACCCTGGTACCTGGCACTGACTAGAAATGAGTCTGAAGAAAGCAAGCAAGAGAAAATGGATACAGAATACATTCTCACAGAGAGCTGACTTAGGAACATCTCCACCAAAGATGTTAACATCTGGAATTTCCTTCCACACGTATATCTAATCTCTTCTGAACTTACCTAAAATCCTCACATCTGCAAATCCTCTGGCTTTAGGTTCTATAGTGACATTCTGCTCTGTGTTACAGTTACACCTTAACAATTGTTCTAAACCTCCTGCGTGAACTTTTCATTGGATATCTCCTAGATCTCCTTGTGAAGCACAAAGAATGATCATTCTCTCTTCACTTTTTCCTTTATTACAATCATAGTTTTAGATCAGATCCCATCTTCCTTTATCCTCTCACATTACTCTCCTATCTTACTTCTGGTCAAAGAGTTTTGGTTTCTGTAGGACAAAGACTTTGTCACCGTGCTTGGATTTTTAAGAACTTAATTGTCAAGCACCTCATTCCTCTTTAAGCAGCCCCTACTTTCTCCAAGAAACTGGTAGATTTCTCAAATGCAATTTTTTCTACAAAATCTAAGTTGGATTTTCTCAATTACCTCATGTTTAATCTGAGCAATTTTTCACTTCTGAAGAAAAATGTTGCAAATTGCATCTTCAAGGAGTTCCCAAAAGATGAATGCCTCAAACTGATGACTAGCCAAATTATTTTAAAAATTTCTCATAGAAAAAAGTCATAAAAATGCTGATTATTGCCTTTTCTTTGGAAATTATTAACTTTGAGTTGCGTAATTTAATAATAGTATTAGCATATCACCTCTTATAAAGAAGACCAAATCAAATATCAAAACACACATTTTATAAAGTTGAAAAATAACCTCTGAAAAATACTTGACAAGATTTAGAAACAAATGTTACACTTGTCTATTTGTTAAAATTAATAATACACATGCACATCATGAAACATATTTGAGGAATGATAAAATGAGACAAAGTACAGTGATTTGCTTCACAGCACATCAAAAGTCTTCTAAGACTAAAGCATCTTCACTTGTCTCACAAATTTGTTACCCCTATTAAACTCATAGAATAAGCAGCAAAAAATAAAAGTATATTAGCCATGTACTCTCTGAATTATACTGCTCACTTTAATGTAAATTTCCAATAGTAAAACAAATCAAAACCACTCTGCAAATGCATTAGACTTTGCATTAAATATCTCTTGGAAAATCTCACTAAATCCAATGTGAAGTAGCCATTTGCTGACATTCAGTAATATTTCTGGACTTTGCATGTTCATTTTTAATCTTTTGCATTTCCAATCACATTTATCTGGTGTTTTCAAGAGTACAGACGAGCAGTAAATAGTTCTTGCTTCCCACTGATTTAATGAAAGTAAGCTTATGCTTCAGTGAGACTACTGTGCTTTAAAATGAAAGGCTTTTAATGTGTTCTGTGAGGGGTTACATCTCTAGACTTGGTGAGGATTCTTTGTGCTACAACCTAGATGGCACATCCAGGCTTTAAAGTAACTTAGACAGTCAGCAGGGGATTCCAGTGATGCTGGAGATTAGCTGAGCTGAGCGCAGTAAAATAGATAATTAATGGCATATTCAATTCCCAGCTCCACCAAAGGCCAATGTTTAAGATGTGGGACTATAATTGATGCTAAATGAACTTGGTGCTCTCTTAGCTGCCAAATAAAATTTATGGGTGATATTATAGGTTTCCTTATAGGGAGATACTAAAAAGAAATGCTTTAGGGTACAGACCAGATACATTAAATTCATACAACATAAACCACCTTTCTATCCAGACCATCAATAGCATTGTGGACATGGCAAACTGAACATCAAATCAAGCCTTTTTACGTTTCTTTGATTAAAAGGGTACCATGGCAGCTGATACAACAAGAACAGGAGTATGAGTAGGAACTTACTTTCCAAAAAGTGAGAACCTGCTGCTTCTGTCTGGCCTTGCATCAACTGCATCAGAGCCATCCTCATCACCTTCCTCTCCAGCAGGGAGATCACCATGCTGATCCTCTGACATCTACCAATAAAAGTACAAGAATGTAAGTGTCCCTCGGCGAGCACTGACATTTTAGAAATACTTCTGTGAACCAGGTTGTTTATGGTCTGGTTTATAGAAGACACATGTGAGGGGTTTAGTTAGGACCTTCACTCAGGGTGGGATGCACTGAAACATCTGCTCTCTGGTTCCAGATTTTCATCAGGAAATTACCCTTCATTCCTGCCCCTTCCCCATAGTTAGGCAGATTAAATTTGCTTTTACCATGCATTTTCTGAGAAGGCCACGCGTTTCCATCGAAAACCACCCCGGACACCAGGCAGCAGCAGCAGCTGAGAGGCCACCAGGGCTCCACGGCTGCACCACCTGCCCGGGGAGCGGGGCGCTGCCAGAGGTTTGGGAGCTGCCCAGAGTTAAGAGCAGCTCGCAAAGCCGGGTCTAGGCTCGGCTTTGACAAGCCCAGAGCACAGCGCAGGCAGAGCGCGCAGGCCGCGGGCGGGAGCTGCGAGGGAAGCGGGCCTAGGCTCAGCAGGAGTGCAGAGGGAGGAGAGTGGGGCAGGGGCCGGGCAGCGGACCCGGGGGAGCCGGGGAAGGCCTGCGAAGGGCCTGGGACTTGCCTTGGTCCTGGGTCCGGCCGGGCGGGAGCGAAAGCGAAACTTAAAGCGAAACTTAAAGCGAAAGCAGCGGGCGGTGCCCCCGTGGCGGCGCCGGGGCGGGGCGGGCTCCGCTGGCGTGTCCCCATCTATGTCCCCATCCCCGATCCCTTCCTTGACCCTTGTCCCCGTCCCCATCCCCGTTCCCTTCCCTGATCCTTGTCCCCGTTCCCATCCCTGACCCCATCCCTGTCCCCGTCGCCCCGGCAGAGGGTCTCGGGCACAGCCCCCGGGCCCTCCTCGCTCCCCAGGCAATGACGGCCACATCACAGCAGAACCGAAATTACCACTTTTTAATAGCTGTGCTCCGGCACACCCCCGCAAAAGAAGAGCCGAAAGTTTCATGGTGACACGAGATTGTCTAGATCTAAGGAAATTTTTCCCCCTATATAAACTTCAGTGGCATTTCCTTATCCTCCCAATTATTCTGCATGTTGCATCTCTGCTAATTACGACGTCCCACTGGGTAGCCGTAGCATCAGGCCCAGCAGTCCAGTTTGTGGACTGAAGATTGGCACAGTCTTGCTAATTACTCCTGGATGCAGGCTCCGATCCTGCAAAATCATACACCTACCCAGCGGTGTGTGGTGTTTAACATTCACTACCTGAAGAGATTTACATCAAAGAGACATTTTTCAGTGTAACTGCCTCCTAATTGGCACAAAACACAGGCACGGTAACAAACAGGCTTTTGCTTCCCGACAGGTCAGTGCCTCGATGTGATGGAGGAGCTCTTGCCGTGTCTGCACGCTGCTGCTGGGACTGCTCCCTGCTTCCTGGGATTGTGCTTGTGGCTCCTGGCTGGATGCTTAGCCAAAGTTTTCTCCTAAAAATCAAACTGACAGAATCCCATTGTTCCTCTCATGCCATCTGTTAGCTGCTTCTTTTCAAGAAGACAGCATTGCTTCCAAATTTATAATGTGATCCACCATGGATAGCAGAGACATTGGAAATGGATGGATGGAGAGGAGACTCGAGGAGAGGAGAGGAGAGGAGAGGAGACTCGAGGAGAGGAGACTCGAGGAGAGGAGA